CCCCAAAACCCCAAAACCCCAAAACCCCAAAACCCCAAAACCCCAAAACCCCAATATATTTTAAGAGTTAAATAATATAATTGATTTGGTAAAGCAAATGAACTCTGAATACACTAATATTGAAGATTGCATTGTAAGAGACTTTGTAGTGGGTTTGAGCCATTTTAGATGTGAAATTTGAAGTTTATACTATGTTTGGGTTGAGGTGAGTTAGATTTGTTATAGAGAGAAAATGAAGAAATTCTAGAAGGGTTGTTCTCTTTCGATGAATTGCAATATTGAAGATTTATGTGGGATCAAGCGAAAGAATCAAAATTTCAGCCCAGAGTAAGTCTAAAATCATCCTATTCCCTTTTAAAACTTCTCATCCCTTAATAGGCAACAAGGACGAAACTCCCTACAAAAATAAGGTAAACTTCCTTACTAACTCCTCTAGTTGCTATATCTCCAAAGTGGATGACCAGGACTGTGCAATGAATTCGCTCATAATTACAGATTTCATGACCTACAACTCGCCGGTGCTAGGTCACCTAGTGATCGACTATGAGATCATAATCCAGCCAGATTTTAACCTGAGTAAGCTCTATCCTAATCTTGGTAGCTAAAGAAATCATAGTCAGAATTCAGGCTGACGCCCAGAATAACTATCAACTTCTCCACCAACCTATTTTGAAGTGCATTCAGTCTACTAATATTATTCCGTAAGACTCTCTGCTGATATTTAGTATTAAATCACTGGTAAAAGAACTTAAATAATGCAAGCACATTGATTGAAGATGACTACCAGCTGATCACAGCTAAAATTGAAGCCGTAATAGACCACAATAAAAATCATCCAGATTATCTTGAAAAGGTTGATACCTACAAATCCAAGCTCAGAGAAATCGTGCAAGAAGCATACGACAAAAACAGGGCCAAGTAAGCCCCTCTTTCACTGTAGAAACGAGAAGTATAAGAAGATTATTGAAGACGCCAATGCCAAGCTGGACCAGCAGTTCGAGTCACTTGATAAAGAGTTGTCCCAGTTTATGGAGGAAGGTACTTTTAGGTGGGTTTAAGTGGGGTTTTGAGGTTGAATAGATCCAGAGATTTATAAGGAACTCCATAATCAGACTATGAAGGTGACCCAAGCTATGTCTGATGTCATTATGAAGGTGAGTGGTGAGGTGATGGGTTTAGGAGACGGAAGGGTTTGATTGGGATTTCACGCAGAGTTCAGGAGAGAGTGGGTCTGAGGTTGGTGGAGTGTAAGGTGTCGGAGAGATTTGTATAGGGTACAGCCGTTTAATGAGAAGACAGTCAAGGCTTTTGAGCTTTTTTGTAACAATGTTGGAAATTCCATATTTGCAGAGGTTAATCAATATTTCAAATAAAAATCTCGATCCTGGGGTTTTGGGGTTTTGGGGTTTTGGGGTTTTGGGGTTTTGGGG